TCAGGCAAGTAAAGAGACTATTGCAGTAGTCTAGGCGGGATGAAATAAAAGCATGAATGATCATCTCTAGTTCCACCTTTGATACTAAGGTTCTCAGCTTTGAGATGTTCCTCAACTGGAAAAAGCAGCTCCTGATCAGTGTTTTAGTGTGTTGTTTAAATGACATGGTTGAATCAAAAACAACACCTAAATTCCGAAGACTTGACTGGGTGGACGAGTCAAGGCTACCCATGTGGTGGCTAATAAGAGGGATCCGGTTTTCTGGAGCAATGATCAGAGTCTCTGTCTTGTCCGAGTTAAGTTGGAGAAAGTTTTCACTTAACCACTGTTTGATGCTCGTCAAGCAGCTAGTTAAGGAGGAGAGTTTGTGTAGCTCAGAGTTTTTGAAGGTGCAGTACAGCTGGATATCATCCGCATAAAGATGGTAGGAGACATTTTGGAACTGGCTAATTAGCTGTCCCAGGGGAAGAATATACAATAAAAACAGAATCGGCCCTAAAACCGAGCCCTGTGGTACACCACATGTCAGGTCAGCTGTTTCGGAGAAGAACTCGTTGGAAAACACATTAAAAGATCTTTCAGTAAGATAAGAATCAAACCATTTTAAAACCAAACCAGCTAACCCTAAATCTTTGAGTCTGTTTCTCATAATGCCATGATCAATAGTGTCGAAGGCAGACGAAAGGTCCAATAAAACCAAAACAGTGTATTCACCAGAGTCGGCTGCCATCATGATGTCACTGGAAACTCGAATAAGTGGTAAGCAGGCCTATTGTTTTTGGATATGTGTGGAGTTAGGTGGTCCGTGAGTGTTTTTTTTATTGGTTAAGACGGTCATTGGTATGAAAAAGTTTGAGAAACACTGCGCTAGTGGATTATCAACGGGGGAGCCTTGCTGCGGGGAAATTATACAGATGGCCAGTGCACACATTATTATTAATAATATATTTTTTTGTAAGGGCCAGGGCATTCTATCATGGATATAGAGAGACCCAGAATAATATCTGATTGTTTGCATTTAAAAAAGACAAACAAATCAACGTAACAATGTAATATAATAATAATATAAATCAACAACACAGATACGGTTCTCATTTATTCATTTTATTTGAATTGTATTTATATAGTTAATTCTATTTTTTGTTTGTTTTATCTGAGTGTTCTGGGTATTCTCTTAATACCTTGAAGGCCCTGACGGTTCACCACTGGTGTGATGGTTCTTTTCTAGGAAATCATACATCATGCGATATATACTGTTAAACAGTTGGGCTTTTGTTATCATGTGCACCTCTGTCCTTGAAAGAGCACATTCAGTATTTTCCCCAACAAATAACTATAGTAATAATACATTATATTATTATAATAATACAAGCAAAGGAAGTTTCTCTTCTCTCATGTACTTTTTTCTTTTTACATAGTAACTGTATGATTCACCATCGCAAAATCTGACATGACTCAGATTCAGATCGTACAGATCAGGACCCATGCTACAGTGTTTGCCATGCAATAGGTCATCTTTGAATTTCTTATGTGATCAATGCTTCAGGGAAAATGTATGCTCAGCAACCAATATTTAAACACATACAGGCAAACACACGTCCTGGTAGCTTACTTGGTAAATGTTTCATAACCTCACGTCATCATGGGGAGGTTAAGTGATTGCGGCGGTGATAACATGCAAAAACCTGTTTCAGTTATAAATAAACATGCAGTGTTTTAAAGTCTGAGTTTGAAGGTTTATCCTCCTAAACCGGCCCTGTCATGTCATTAACTTACCTAAAACAACAGACCCCCCCCCCAGTGCTTTTCTGTTAGCTTTCTGCTAACAGACATTCATATTTGGGGTTAGGAGGCTTTACAGAACTGTTCATTTGCTAAACAGTACTAATGAAGCCATGTGAGTCTAGCTAAAGCGAAAGATGAATGTTCTTTTTTTTGTAGAGAAATATCACAGCCAAATTTCTCTCCTGAATGACTCTTCCTGCTCAGTCTGACAGGCTACTTCACGAAGTATGACTGCTCCAGTGCTGACATCAACCCCATAGGAGGCATCAGCAAGACGGACCTGAAGAGCTTCCTGCTGTTCTGTGTAGAGCACTTCCATCTCCCCGCCCTCAGAGGGTAAGCTGTTAGCACTGAAAACACACACACACCTAACAGAGGGAGGGGTTACTAGGCTAAATAAGAAATTAGGCTTATTTTATCACCCGTTCACTAAACACTTCAGATGTAAAAGTAAAGGTACCTCCAGGATTTATGTGGAATATGTTAAAACACCAGCTTGAGAAACGTAATGGTGTTGCCAAGATTTGACATTAGATTCAAGATTTATTGTCATATCTTATTCACAACTACGATATGGTACCGCCTGCCAGACGGCAGCAGACAGAACAGTTTGTGGCTGGGTTGATGGGGGTCTTTGATAATCCTGAGGGCTTTCTTCCTGAGCCGCTGGGAGTAAAGGTCCTCCATGGATGGCCGCTCCGTCCTGTAGAGTCTTACGGTTGGGGGCGGTGCAACTGCCATACCAGGCCGTGATGCAGCCAGGAGGGATCCGCTCGTCTATGGACCTGTTTGCTCTGTAGGCAAACTGCAGGGGGTCCAGAGAGTCAGGAAGGGAGGAGGTGATGAAGGTTTTGACTAACCGCTCAAAGCACTTCATGATGATGGAGGTGAGTGCTACTGGGCGGTAGTCATTGAGCCTGGTGATTTTTTTCTTTTTGGGGACAGGAACAATGGTGGAGTGTTTGAAGCATGCGGGGACTACAGACTGCAGCAGGGACCTGTTGAAGATGTCTGTGAACACCTCTGCCAGCTGAACTGCACACACCCTGAGAACACGGCCGGGATGCCATCAGGTCCAGGAGCCTTGTATGGGTTAACCCTTTTAAAGGATCTACACACATCTGCCCTGTTTAAAACAAAAGGGCAGGGCTCCTGGTCCTTCTGTACCTCCACAGCCTGGCTGCTCTCAAAACGTGCGTAAAAAGTATTCAGCTCATCTGGGAGAGAGATGCGCACACACTGAGTCCCCCAGCACCACCTGCTGCTCCTTTGTAGTCAGTCACTGTCCTTAGTCCCGCCCACATGTCAGAGCCTCTGAAGTCGGACTCTACTTTTTCTTTGTAGTGTCTCTTTGCACTGCTGTGTCATGTCATTCAGTTGACATTTATCCATAGCAGACATGCCTGCTCGAGCAGTTTGGGGTTAGGTATTGTAACTGCAGAAAAGTGATATAGCTGTGTCAGATACATTTTTACAAAATCCCCTGGAGGTCTGTTGCAGAGTTAAGTAAAAGCAAAAGTGTTTGTTGCTGGAATATATTTAACTAAAAGCTGACTTGGTGCGTGGTTTGAAACTCTGTGGCTCTACAGCGAGCTTCCTCTCCACAGTTCTTCAGCACTGTTAAAATAAACCTACCATTAAAATGATAGACTGTTAATTTCTTTGTAAGTGGGCAAACTTACAAAATCTGCAAGGGATCAAATACTTATTTCCTCCACTGTATATAACACATAATTTGTTTGTTATTTTTTACTTGTAGATGATAATAATAATAATAATAATGAAGCTTATTTATTAGTGCACTTTTCATTCGCGTAAACAAAACTCAAAGTGCTACAGAGTAAAAAGGGTGAAACAAAACAATTAAAACAACAGAATAAAAGCAGTGACATTTATGCCTGCATGGCAAAATGTGGGGATTTGAAAAATCTAGTAAAAGGCTATTCTAAAAAGATGCGTTTAAGGCCTTTTTTTAAAGCATCCACAGTCTGTGGTGTCCTCAGCTGGTTTGGGAGGGCACTCCACAGTCTCGGAGCAGCGGAGCAGAAGGCTCTGTCTCCCATGGTTTTCAGTTGGGTCCTGGGGGGAAGGAGGAGGTTTGCCTTTTCAGAGTGTACGTTCCTCGTGGAGGTTTGTGGGGTGAGGGAGCATTTCCATGTATGCACTGATGAGTGAAGAGGGTGATTTTGTAGTCAATCCTGAGTGAGACCGGGAGCCAGTGCAGTGATTGGAGGATGGGTGTGATGTGTTCGTACTTCCGCACTCTCATCAGGATCCTAGCAGCGCTGTTCTGGATGTATTGCAGCTTCTGGATGTTCTTGCTAGGAATCCCAATGAGAAGTGCGTTACAGTAGTCCAACCTGGAGGAGACAATATTTAGCAATATTTCTCAGGTGGTNTGGACAAGTTTTTCAGCATCTGGCAGACTGAGTGTGGGGCGGAGTTTCGCAATATTTCTCAGGTGGTAGAAAGAGGTCTTGCATATTTGCTTGATGTGGGCTTCAAAGGTCAGGTGAGGATCCATTTTAAATCCCAGATTGATAACCGTTGATGAGAGTGGAATGTTCTGACTGGAGAAGGTGATGCTGGTGATGGAGGATGAACGGACCTGATGTGGAGTGCCAATAAGAATGGCTTGGAGCTGTTTAGCTGGAGGAAGTTGTGCTTCATCCACACCTTTATCTCCTCAAGGCATGTGGTTATTGTTGATGATGGCAGAGGTGCAGAGGGGGTTGGGTTTGCTCTGATGTAGAGCTGTGTGTCATCAGCATAGCAATGGAACGATATTCCATGCCGGCTGATGATAGTGACACATGTGTTACCAAGAACAAACTGCAGCACAATTATACACAATGTTTATTTGAAGTACATGTTAGAATGTTGCGGTTTGATGTCAGAACTGCTGTGTGTTTCCTCTGCAGCATCCTGGCTGCTCCGCCCACCGCCGAGCTGGAGCCTCTGACAGACGGCCAGGTGTCGCAGACAGATGAGGTCAGAACGGCAAACATTTCTATAGATCTTTATAATGAAAGAACCAAGCTTCCAATACTGCAGGTCAGCTGGTGAATAAATGTTACAAATTATATTTCACATATTATTAAATTACTGCACATCGGTCAATTAGGGAAGAAAAAACACTTTAGAGGCAAATAATTGAAACATTTTAATAATGATTGGACTCTAGGCTAACTGAAGTTTTACAAACAGAGCTGGAGGAGAAGGAGGAAGTGTATTCCATTTGTTCACTTTTATGAAAGGAAAGATGAGTAGGAAAAGTCATTTTGTTTTTAAATCTGTAAAATACAAATAAGTATATTTGAAAGATTCAAGCCACTTAAAATCTGTAACACCAGATGTTGATCTCCATAAGCAGCCACATATACATTTTTCATCCAAACACCCCCAGGCAGACATGGGGATGACCTACTCAGAGTTGTCTGTGATTGGACGGCTGAGGAAGATCTCTAAGTGTGGCCCCTTCAGTATGTTCTGCAAACTCATACACACGTGGAAGGACGTGCTCTCACCCACAGAGGTCAGTCAATACGTCACAGTGCGGGACATTTTTCTATTTTGTGCCTTTCATTTATTTTTTATAAATTCAGACATATTAAAGAACAGCAGACAACTTCAAGACCGGTGGGGGGGCCATGTCTGTGCCCTTTTGAACTTTGTTGTTATAACCATTTAAATTATTTAGAATAAACTGGAATTGTTGTTGCAACAACACTACATTCAATTGATGCTAGTTATACAATAGGATCAGATAATACAATGCAATTTATAACTTTTTAGAAAAAATTGAGGATTTTATCTCACATTTGTAAGAATATTACTAGTATATTTATATAAAAATGTATTAATAACAGCTACACATGAATCAATCCGACAATGTTTGTATTATAACTCCTAATATCGTTTGATAACTCTTAATCTTGCGGTATGATAACTTAATAATAAATATTGATTACACCCAATAATACTGATTAGAGATGATCAGCCTAAATAACACACTTGAGAGCTCATGACTTTAGCTGTTGGAATTAAAGTTAGCTTGATGGTTTCGGGGCTTTAAAGGTGCTTAAAAGTTGAATGAGAAACTTCTTCAGCCATACACTAATAATAATACATATTGTGGATTAAGCAGATATTTAGCCTCATCAACATCAATGTACTGTCACTTTCTTCAGGTGGCCCAGAAGGTGAAGCAATTCTTCCGGATGTACTCGATGAACCGCCACAAGATGACCACAGTGACGCCGTCCTACCATGCAGAGAGCTACAGCCCCGACGACAACCGCTTTGACCTCCGACCTTTCCTCTACAACACACGCTGGACCTGGCAGTTCAGGTGCATCGACAAACAGGTATAAATAAGTGTCTGTCTCCACAAAGTGCCAGCATCTCTTCCAATCATTTACAATGAGGACTGAGTGCATGCCTCAAGAGAGAGCACGTCACCAAGCTGCTTTTTTGAGAACGCACCGTTGGTTTGTGTGGGCGCTCCAAGTCCTTAAAGTTGCAAATATTTAAACAGCTCTATGGATGTAGAATGTGTGGTGAAGTTCATTCATACAAAGTGTGAGAATTTTTAAATACAAGCACAATCGTAAGACACAACTAAAACATTCGGAGAAATGTTGACTGTGTGACTGAAACTTGGGTGCGTGTCCCGATGCTAACATTACCCCCGCTGAGTAAGTATTAATAGCATTAGCTGTATTGTTAAGGTACAACAAAGAATATCCATTAATTTTAGCAACATTTTAGCTGACTATTATAACTGTTTATCTATTACATTTT